CAAACTGGGGTCCGTGTACCCTTGGAGGTACGCAACATAGATCATAGGGGTACGTGAACAAACAAGGAACATACACGCCTCACATCTCTCATTAAGTTGTGTAAGCATTTTTCAAGCATTTTGTTATTAAGTCATTTATTTTATTCATGTTAAAATTCGAATTTATTGACCAACACTCCTAAAATGCAGTCTTTTCATAATTAGTGTATTATTTGCATTATCCTAATTAAAACAGTTTGTTTAGCCATAGTGGACAGAGGGGGGGAAGGTAACGTAACAGTAAAGGGTATAATAGGCGAAAATGTTTGGACGACACTGATCTATCTCATGGTTCTGTTTACTGTAAAGGCTATAGTTATTATATAGCAAAAAGAATACCAAAGATACGGTATGTAGTTGTTAAGCAGAGTGTTTGGGGTGGCTTAGAATTCTGTAGATTTATCAGTGAGGACATAAGTTTTTGGCTGGCTCTGGACTAGAGAGTATGACTTAGAAACCGTAATTCTATAGAAAAGTTAAGTATCATTAGCACATGAAGTTTTTATTAAGGGAGTCCATTTAATGTATTAATGTATTCTGTCTAGATATGGTAGTTTTAGTCTGTGAAAACCATCCACAGTGATGGTTACTTGATAGCAGGAATGGACTAAAATGTGGTGATTGCAGGGCAACATAAAATGTATATTGATTACCTGTCCATCTGTGTTTGCACAGATTTTATTCAGAAAAATGCAAAGAAAGTTTTAGACTAATTTATAAAGTGTTTCTCTACTTACAAATGCACTGCGTGTGAGACACATTTTTGAATGAACCTTGATGAATGCAGTCTTAAGCCACAAACTATCAACAATCCATTCACAGCAATGGTCTCAATGAAAACACAAGAAATGTCGACAGAGGCTAGGATTGACATTTTTCAAATCTGTAAAGCATCTATAGATCAGCATTTCGAATGGAAAAATTAGGATTAAAGTAAAGAATGCCCCATGTCTGGCTCCACCAGTTTCTAAAATATGGCACTTGTGCCATGCCAAAAGGTGATATTCCCTAATTTGAGTCCGAGTCCAGGGTCAGATAGGGCAGGACATTATTCCTTATTATGGATGTTATCTTATATGTATGTGTATGTATATATATGTATGTGTATGTATATATATTATATACTATATATATATATATATATATATTATATATATATATATATATATATATATATATATATAATTTTTTTATGTGGGTGCAGATATGTATATATTATTATTTGTTTATTTTTTATTTTTATTTTTTTTATTATTATTTTTTTGTATGTGGGTATAGATATGGATATATTTATTTATTTATTTATTTTACATATCTTGTATTTATTAGAAATATTGTAGAGATTTGTATCATAACTGTCTGAACCTACACTAATACAACCCATTTTATTGGTAATTAACCATTTTTTAAAACCTTGCTTGTCTAAGCTCTATCCCTTTAGTCTAAAGAGTGAGTCATCAACTTTCATGGCCATTTTGGGGGTGCTTCATTTCCCTGAAAGACAATCTCTCTGCAGTTTTATGGATTTTTTGTATTTTATAATAACGGTGTGATGGATATGGAGCATTCAACTGTTATGTGCTGGAAGGAACTCTTCCATAAGCTTTTCCGTTGCGAGCATGACATTGTTTTATCGACTCCCTTTCTGCTGGTGCTAATATTTTGTTAATTCAGGAGGAAAGGATGTGGATTTATAGAGGCATGTTAGCTGGGATGTGCGGAATTCTGGCATGTCAGGGCAGAGATTTAAAAGCAAAAACTAGAATCATTAGCTAATGGATTTGATTATATAATTTTTCAAGTTATCTTAACATACATTAGATATAAAGGATTACTATTTTGAACTTGTGTAAATGTGTGTTTTTTATTGATTTTTTAATTAGATTTCTGATAGAGATTAATTGTATTATCGTTACTTATATGTAGCATTTTTTCAACCAGCATTTAATATGGAGCAGAGACTATGATAATTAGTGAAGCCATTCACACTGCCTGATATAGGAAAATCTTGTTTATCTTCCTGTATGCTTCATATGTAAAGATGTGTGGTTCTTGGGGTGTTGATTGCAGTGCCATGGTGTTGGACTAGATTATTGATCACAGTTGGCTGTGGATTATATCCGTGATGACTGTGTTTCAATGAGAATTTTGCCATTATTCTCCCAGAATACATTTTCATACTTCATTGTTTGTATTTTTATATGTCATGTATGTTTTGCATTTGTTGCAAAATGTGTAAATACCATGGTTAGGTTTTTGTATGAATGTTTTTATTCATATGCTAAGGCTAGGATTATGTAAGTTGTATTTGATGATGCAAAATGATAAGTGGCAGCTTTTTTTTTTCTTTCTTTCTTTATTTCATTTTACTCCAAAATACATTCAGAATTTTGTTACTTTGCAATTAAAGTGATGAAATAAATGTCAGCATAACACAAGAGTGTGAGGTAATTGTACATGGGTGGAGGCCAGATGCGGTAGTGAAAAAGGACATCACTGTATATATTCTTTGTTTTTTGTTTTGTCTAGATGAACTGGCTTAGTTATAGCATGTTTCTTGCTTTAAGTTCAAAGAAAAAGAAAAGAAAAAACAGCTTTTTGGTAGATCTTTCGAAAGGCCTTTGTTTCATGCAGTAAACACAACCTAGAGCTTGCCAATTGTAGTGTATAATGATTCAGGAATTTTTGTCCCCTGTCTTGGTATGTCTTTCCTTAGCTGTCAGTTGTTGTCACCAGAAGACATTAAGCCTTTGACATCCGTGCGCATCATTGGCATGAAGCCACATGCTACTGCCAGGGTGTCTTTTATACTATAGTATACTGTTTATCCACTTTACTGTTTTAGAGGTTAGTGCTAGAAGGTGCATTTTCTTGTTAGCTGCAAGGATATGTGCAGCATAACCTCTGAGGAGTCATAGGTTGTGAAAAGTTTACTATTTTTCTTCAAGAATTAGTTAAAGTGAAGGTTGTAGGAGGTTCACAGATACAGTATGTAGATCAGCTGTTCGGGGAATTGCTCTGGGAAGTGATTGAAAGATTTCTTAATTCATTGATGGATCAGTTAATTGATAAGTTGGTCTAGGGCAAGGGTTCTTAACCTAGGGGCCATAAACCCTCCTGTGAGAATCAAATGAAAATTGATATTTATACCTGCTATAATTTGTGGATGAAAAGGAGTTTTTTTTATATTGTTAATTTAAAGTTTAATGATACTTTGTGTGTATCATATATTTATGAAACAAATCTCAAGCGATACTGTGTGCAAAGTTGTGTGTGTTTGTGAATATTTCTTGGGTCCATAGCTTTCATCAGATTCGTAAAGCGGTCGATGACTCTAAAAAGGTTAAGTACCACTGGTCTAGGGGTTATTAAAGTAATGGTCACACTAGTTTTCTCTGTCTTCTCTCGGTTGGTCACACTATTAACAATGTTTTTTTCGTAGAGAAACATCATCCCAGAAAAGGTCATAGTGTCTGCAGGAACCTCCTGGATCAACTAAGCATTGAAGATAGTCTTAGATTTTCTGAATATTATTGGATACACTATAGACTAAAAAAAAAAATTAGAAAAAACAATCCACCCATTTTATTAATTATCATACATCATACAGCCATGCCGGCTACCCAGATATCCCTTATTTCAACAGAAAGAGAAAAACTGGCCTTATTATTTCTTTCCAGTAGTACATACTGATATAATTATGGACTGACATAAACTAAAGTTGGGAGGAAACAAATATTTTTAACTGAAATTGATTAAAATATTAGTAATTGGCTATTGTGACACAGCCTTGCCTGCCACACAGTTATAACCCGAGGACAGAAAAGTTTCTTGTTGATTTCATCCATTATTGTTATTTTTTCCTTTCTGCTATCATGAAGTGTGGATGGTATTCCATAATTGTTCGATGGCTCTCACTCTGATCCACTAGGGCATAGATAATGTCTTACGTGAGTTCTGTCTCTTCATTGTGTTGGAATGGGTGTGTGTTTGTATACCATGATCAAATGAACATTTGT